CACGCCTGGCCTCAACTTTCATTTTCAAAGTCACCTCAATGTCCATCATGCCAATCAGCAGGGAAAAGTAAGAGAAGGTAAAATGAATTACCCCTATCTGTCTCCAGAAGTCCCACTTCTATGCTTGTTTGTTTCCCAGAACCTAGTCCACACTTAGCTCCAAAAGAGACTGAGAATATAGCTGTTGATGTTGTTGTTGTTTCCTGCTTGCATTGCTGCCTCAAATAATATTAGGTTCTCTTACTAGGTAGGAAAAGAATAATACACTGTGGGGATCAGTCTTTGCTCATGTTTCAGAGCTATGTGGTTATATTCCTTGTCATAACTGTGGTCTTCCTCAGCTTTCATGCATATTTTTGTTAGTTGTTCAGAGATTTGTTTCTTTTTTTTTTTTTTTTTTTTTTTGAGATGGAGTGTTGCTCTTGTTATCCAGGCTGGAGTGCAATGGTGCGATCTCGGCTCACCGCAACCTCCACCTCCTGAGTTCAAGCAACTCTCCTGCCTCAGCCTCCAGAGTAGCTGGGACTACAGGCACGCCACACCATGCCCAGCTAATTTTTGTATTTTTAGTAGAGACGGGGTTTCACCATGTTGACCAGGATGGTCTCGATCTCTTGACCTCGTGATCCACCCGCCTCGGCCTCCCAAAGTGCTGGGATTACAGGCGTGAGCCACCGTGCCCAGCCGCATTTCTTTAATACATTTGCTTCCTCACTTAGTTTCAATATACACCTCACCTCATAGACACCCCTAAGTTACTTTTGCTATGATAATTCTGTCTTTGTGCTTTCTTCTACCTTCATCCCTTGCTACATTTTCTTGTCATACTGTAGCCCTGACATTTTTTTTTTTAGTCTCTCTGACCTCTTTTGTGAAGGGAACTTTAATATATCAGTTTCTTAGATCTTTGTTCCATTGTATATTAGCATGGATCATCTTTTGTAGCTGATGCTTCATGTATAAATAATTTCTCCTGAATAATTTATCTGTTCATTTATCTTGACATCTTGCTTTTCCTGAATACAGAATTGTCCAAAGTATTGCCTGTGTCAGCCACTTGATGCACTTTTTTTAGTGCTTTAGCACATTAACCATTGGACTGTGTCCACTTAGCTCTTAAATATTATAATGCCTTTAAAAAGCTGGCTTAGCACAGAACTTAAAATACCATTCTAATCTTTCTTTTTAAGGTTTGCATAATTTAGCAAGGTTTCAAGTCAAATGTAGGCTGAAAAGAATGATTGCCATCAGATACTAAGTTTTATTTAAACAGCACTGTTACTCTGAAACATTAGCTAATGTTACCACTAAATAAGGGTAATAGTTACCTTTTTAAAAACGAAGTACATAGTTGCTGTTATTGCATATAAATATAGTAGCTATTTGAATTTATGTTTTTTTTTTTTTTTTTTTTTGGAGACACAGTCTTGCTGTGTCACCCAGGCTGGAGTGCAATGGCACAGTCTCGGGTCACTGCAACCTCTGCCTCTTGGGTTCAGGCGATTCTCCTGCCTCAGCCTCCCAACTAGCTGTGATTACAGATGCCTGCTACCATGCTGAGCTAATTGTATTTTTAGAAGAGACGGGGATTCACCATGTTGGTCAGGCTAATCTCAAACTCCTGACCTCAGGTGATCCACCTCCCTTGGCTTCTCAAAGTGCTGAGATTACAGGTGTGAGCCACTGCGCCTGCCCAGAATTTATGGTTTTTACCTGATTGTTTAAAAAATATTTCCAAGTATAGATGTTCCTTGACTTACAATGGGATTACATCCCAGTGAACTAATTATAAGGTGGCTGGGCACAGTGGTTCTAATCCCAGCACTTTAGAAGGCCAAAGCAGGAGGATTAAAGTCCTGAGCCCAGGAGTTTGAGACCAGCCTTGGCAACATAGTGAGACTTCACCTCTACAGAAATAAAAAATTAGCCCAATGTCATGGCATGTACCTGTAGTCCCAGCTATTTAGGAGGCTGAGGTGGGAGAATTGCCTGAGCCCAGGAGGTCAAGGTTGCAGTGAGCCAAGATAATGCCCCTGCACTCCAGCCTGAGCAACAGAGCGAGACCCTGTTTATAAAAAAAATAAAGGAAAAGGCCATGTGCAGTGACTCATGCCTGTAATCCCAGTGCTTTGGGAGGCTGAGGTGGGCAGATCGCGAAGTCAGGAGTTCGAGACCAGCCTGGCCAACATGGCAAAACCCTGTCTCTACTAAAAATACAAAAATTAGGCAGGAGTGGTGGCAGGTGCCTGTAATCCCATCTACTCGGGAGGCTGAGGCAGAAGAATCACTTGAACCCGGGAGGAGGAGGTTGCAGTGAGCCTAGATCATGCCACTGCACTCCAGCCTGGGTGACAAGAGCAAGACTCTGTCTCAAAAAAAAGCAAGAAAAAAAAAAAGATCATATAAGTTAGAAATATTGTAAGTTGAAAATGCATTTAACCTACTGAACATTATAGTTTAGCCTTAACTATCTTAAATATGCTTAGAACACTTATATTAGCCTATAGTTGGCCAAATCATTCAACACAAAGTCTACTTTATAATAAAGGATTGAATATCTCATGTGATTTATTGAATACTGTTCTGAAAGTGAAAAAAAGGAACGAAGTATGGTTCTACTGATTGTGTACTGCTTTCAGACCACTGTAAAATTGAGAAATCATAAATCAAACCGTCTGTAAGTGGGGGATCATCTATATGCCTATACTATACTATTTTTACTTGAAGTGTTCTTTCACTGAATTCTGTTCTTCCCAGCATCTTCAGATATAACTTTATTGTTTAGAGTAGAAAGTTGGTAGTAAGGAATAACACTGTTATTACTTATTCAGCTATCTTATGTTTCAGAATAAGGAAGAATTAAACCCATTTATTTATTTGTAATAAGATCTCCCTATGAATTTTTTCCATATTATAATAGCAATGCATGCTTATTACCAAAGAAGTATCTGACCAAAAAAATAGATATATAGACAACTCAGACTTCACCAGAAAATTACTGTTAAGTAGTTTGTGTATAGTTTTTAAGGTCTTTGGGAGGGCAGGGGCATAGCACTGGTAATATGTATGTATAAATATCCATACATTGGCTCATGCCTATAATTCCAGCACTTTGGGAGGCTGAGGCAGGTGTATCACACGGTCAGGAAATCAAGACCATCCTGGCTAACGTGGTGAAACCCTGTCTCTACTAAAAATTCAAAAAATTAGCCAAGGGTGGTAGCATGTGCCTGTAGTCCCAGCCACTCGGGAGGCTAAGGCAGCAGCATCACTTGAACCCAGGAGGTGGAGGTTGCAGTGAGAAGAAATCACACCCACTGCATTCCAGCCTGGGCGACAGAGAGACTCTGTCTCAATAAAGAAAAAAAAATTCATAGATTGACTATTTTT